AAAAAGTTGATGTCATATATTAGTTTTGATAATAGTTACAAAAATAGTATTATTTAAGAAAATAACATGTCCTGAAATACTTAATTAGATGTACATAAAAATTCAAGTTAATTTATTTCAAAAATAATGTGACAATAGCCAACTTAAATGAAAAACTAATTATATATCAACAGAAAATTAATTGAGACAGCCATTTTCGGTAGCATATTTGATTATATTTATATAACCTTTTTGAGTAGCTTCATAAATGGTACCTCTACTCCATGGACAATAGTTTTCATGGGCAAATCTTAAGCAAAAAAATTGACCATTTGCAGCAGCAAGTCTTGTTGTCCCTTCGTCCCACACACACCCATTTAAATGACTATATTTTAGACAGTCTAAGTGGCCATTTGCAGCAGCTCCACTCATTGTCCCTTCGTCCCATTTACATCCATTTTTATGTGCATATACTAAAATGTCAATATGACCACTAGCAGCAGCTTCCCTTGTTGTACCTTCGTCCCAGTCACAACCATTGTCATGGGCATATTTAATGCAGTTTAAATGTCCATTCGCTGCAGCCAATCTCATTGTACCTTCAATCCAATGACATCCATGTTTACGGGCATATTTTAAACAATCTAAATTACCATGCCCAGCTGCTGCAGCTATCGTATCATCATACCAATTACATCCTTTTTCATGAGCATATATCAAGCAGTCAAAACAGCCACTTGCTGCAGCAGCTCTAGTTGTGCTTTCATCCCATAGACATCCATTATCATGAGCATATTTTAAACATTCTAATTTACCATTAATAGCAGCTGCTTCTGTCGTACTTTCATCCCAAGGACATCCATTATCATGAGCATATTTTAAACATTCTAATTTACCTTGAAAAGCAGCTGCTCCTATAGTGTCTTCATTCCATGGACATCCATTATTATGAGCATATTTTAAACATTCTAATTTACCATTAATAGCAGCTGCTTCTGTCGTACTTTCATCCCAAGGACATCCATTATTATGAGCATATTTTAAACAGTCTAATTTACCATTAAGAGCAGCTGCTTCTGTTGTAAATTTATCCCAAGGACAATTATTTTTATGTAAATATTTTAAAATTTCTAGATTACCTTTTATAGCAGCCAAAATAGTTGCGTCTCTATTCAATTCGCATAAATTTTCGTGGGCGTATTTTAACATTTCTAGATTACCGTTTCGAATAGCACTAAACACAATATTGATTTGATTCCATTCACAGCCATTTTCATGAGCATATTTTAAGCATTCTAAATTACCATATTTAGCAGCAGCATCAGTCGTGCTTTTATCCCATGGACATCCTTGATCATGAGCATATTTTAAACATTCTAAATGTCCTTTAGAAGCAGCTGCTTCTGGTGTTCTTTTATCCCACGGACATTCATTTTCATGAGCATATATTAAACATTCTAAATGTCCTTTAGAAGCAGCTGCTTTTGGTGTTCTTTTATCCCACAGACATTCATTTTCATGAGCATAGATTAAACATTCTAAATGTCCGTTAGAAGCAGCTGTTTCTGTTGTCCTTTTATCCCATGGACATCCATGATCATGAGCATATTTTAAACATTTTAAATGTCCGTTAAAAGCAGCTGCTTCTGTTGTCCTTTCATCCCATGGACATTTTTGTTCATAAGCATATTTTAAACATTTTAAATGTCCTTTAGAAGCAGCTGCTTCTGTTGTTCTTTTATCCCACGGACATTCATTTTCATGAGCATATATTAAACATTCTAAATGTCCTTTAGAAGCAGCTGCTTCTGTTGTCCTTTTATCCCATGGACATCCATGATCATGAGCATATTTTAAACATTTTAAATGTCCGTTAAAAGCAGCTGCTTCTATTGTCCTTTCATCCCATGGACATTTTTGTTCATAAGCATATTTTAAACATTTTAAATGTCCTTTAGAAGCAGCTGCTTCTGTTGTTCTTATATCCCACGGACATTCATTTTCATGAGCATATATTAAACATTCTAAATGTCCTTTAGAAGCAGCTGCTTCTGTTGTCCTTTTATCCCATGGACATCCATGATCATGAGCATATTTTAAACATTTTAAATGTCCGTTAAAAGCAGCTGCTTCTATTGTCCTTTCATCCCATGGACATTTTTGTTCATAAGCATATTTTAAACATTTTAAATGTCCTTTAGAAGCAGCTGCTTCTGTTGTTCTTATATCCCACGGACATTCATTTTCATGAGCATATATTAAACATTCTAAATGTCCTTTAGAAGCAGCTGCTTCTGTTGTCCTTTTATCCCATGGACATCCATGATCATGAGCATATTTTAAACATTTTAAATGTCCGTTAAAAGCAGCTGCTTCTATTGTCCTTTCATCCCATGGACATTTTTGTTCATAAGCATATTTTAAACATTTTAAATGTCCTTTAGAAGCAGCTGCTTCTGTTGTTCTTATATCCCACGGACATTCATTTTCGTGAGCATATATTAAACATTTTAAATGTCCATTAGCAGCAGCTGCTTCTGTTGTCCTTTCATCCCATGGGCATTTTTTTTCATGAGCATATTTTAAACATTCTAAATGTCCTTTAGAAGCAGCTGCTTCTGTTGTCCTTTCGTCCCAAGGACATTTATTTTTATGAGCATATATTAAACATTCTAAATGTCCGTTAGAAGCAGCTGTTTCTGTTGTCCTTTCATCCCACAGACATTCATTTTCATGAGCATAGATTAAACATTCTAAATGTCCGTTAAAAGCAGCTGCTTCTGTTGTCCTTTCATCCCATGGACATTTTTGTTCATAAGCATATTTTAAACATTTTAAATGTCCTTTAGAAGCAGCTGCTTCTGTTGTTCTTTTATCCCACGGACATTCATTTTCGTGAGCATATATTAAACATTTTAAATGTCCATTAGCAGCAGCTGCTTCTGTTGTCCTTTCATCCCATGGGCATTTTTTTTCATAAGCATATTTTAAACATTCTAAATGTCCTTTAGAAGCAGCTGCTTCTGTTGTCCTTTCGTCCCAAGGACATTTATTTTTATGTAAATATTTTAAGATATCTAAATATCCTTTAATAGCAGCAGCCTTTGTTGTTTCTTCGTCCCATTCACATCCATTTTCATGAACATTAATTAACAATTCTAAATTTCCATTTTCAGCAGCTTTTCTAGTAGCACCTTTTTCATATTGACTTTTTATATTATTATTTGAAAATTGAATCGCTGTATAAGAACAATTGTTTATTAATTTTTGCTTAGAAACGTTATAATGTTTATTAAAATGTTTATAAATAAAATGTTTAATAATTTAGATTATTAAATAAGTATATCTAATTAAAAGAGAGAGAATTCAAATAATATTTTCTTTCATAAAGTTAATAAAGTTAAAATTATTATGTACTGAATATCACCCTATTACTCGTGACATTGCATTTACTAACACCCTGCATGTTGTATTCCTAATATTATAATTTTAGCTTCGTTGCGAAGCTGAGAAGGTATTGGTTTTACTATGATGTGTTTTTTTTTTTTTTTTTTTTTTT